TCTATTTGATTGCCTCCTGTTACCCTAACCTTAAGTGTTGTTACTGGAAACATTTGTGGATGACATCCCTGTGAGCCCTCTTCTCAGGTGGCCACTTGCCTCTCCAGAATTGGGGTCTGCCTCCACTGGCTCAGTATGCATAGGGCCTGTGAGAAAAGCCTATAGGCCTCTGGAGCATAGTCTTAGAGCCTTGGCATATTGGTATGTTGTGCCACTGAGCAATACCTAGGAGGCTTCCTTAGGGGTTTTATATTCATCAAGAAGCTGGTCTACCCCTCCCCCCATTCTTTTTTTTTTAATTTAATACATCTTTATTGTTCAGATTATTACAATTGTTCCTTTTTTTTCCTTCCATAGCTCCCCTCCACCCGGTTTCCACCCCACCCTCTGCCCTTACCTCCCCACCCCCCTATTGACCTCATCCATAGGTGTACAATTTTTGTCCAGTCTCTTCCCACATCCCCCACACCCTTTTCCTCCTGAGAGTTGTCAGTCCACTCCCTTTCTATGCCCCTGATTCTATTATATTCACCAGTTTATTCTGTTAATCAGATTTTTAATTCACTTGATTTTTATATTCACTTCTTGATAGATATGTATTTGTTGTTCATAATTTTTAAAAAATATATATTTTATTGATTTTGTACAGAGAGGAAGGGAGAGAGTTAGAAACATTGATGAGAGAGAGTCATCGATCAGCTGCCTCTTGCACACCCCCGACTGAGGATATGCCCGCAACCAAGGTCCATGCCCTTGACTGGAATTGAACCTGGGACCCTTCAGTCCCCAAGCCGACGCTGTATCCATTGAGCCAAACCGGTTTCGGCTGTTGTTCATAATTTTTATCTTTACCTTTTTTCCCCCTTCTTCCTCTTCTTCAAGAATACCTTTCAGCATTTCATATAATACTGGTTTAGGGTTGATTGAACTCCTTTAGCTTTTTCTTATCTGTGAAGCTCTTTATCTGACCTTCAATCCTGAATGATAGCTTTGCTGGGTAGAGTAGTCTTGGTTGTATGTCCTTGCTACTCATCACTTTGAATATTTCTTGCCACTCCTGTCTGGCTTGCATAATTTCTGTTGAGAAATCAGCTGATAATCATATGGGTGCTCCCTTATAGGTAATTAACTGTTTTTCTCTTGCTGCTTTTAATATTCTCTCTTTGTCTTTTGCTCTTGGGAGGCACTGACACTAGGTGTTTGAGACATTTATATCTGTCCATTAATTTTTAGCAACATTGCACCAAGGATTTGACTTACAATAACCCATTGGGTCAGGGGACAAAGAGCTACATTCGAAAGTGAAGAAGTGACACAGAGACTGTAGTCTCTGCTGTATTTTCCATTAGTGGAGCACTGGTTTCAAACCAGTTGCAAGTAAGTTCCCTCTTCCTGGTTGGGACACATAGTCCAGGTGTGCCTCACCAACTCAGTGATCGATGGTAGAAGTCTCCTATCTTTCTCACCTATGGGAATCTTTTCCTCATCCTTTTATCCCAGAGCTGGTCCTTGAGCAGTGCCAATAGCCTTGCCCTCAAATCCACTTCCCTGAGTCTCTTTGGCCTTGAGGTATGAAGGATCCTTATGCACATTTATGGTCAATTAAGGCCTTTATAATTAGTGGTCTAATCCTCTTGTTAGACCTTATGATTTTGACCATGCTGCTCTGGGGAGATCCTTGGATTATTATGGCAGCCATGACCTTTGGGTGTGACAGCACAGAACAGACACAATTTGAAAAAGCACAAAGCAGCTAAACAGACCCCCCAGTGAGTTGTGCTCCTCTCCCAGATAGTGTTACCCACCTGTGTTAGGTAGTTAGTAAGCAAGTTGCAGGTAAAAGGCAGTCACCTGAGTTAATTGCAAGGTTAATTATGCAATCCTGCCGACTATGCCAATTGTGTGGGCCAGTCTCAGCCTGTGATGATAGCAATGCTATCTGCAAGAGATGCCTGGGGGCACTCACCTGGGTCCCACTGAGCTTTCTGCTGACAACTCCCCTTTCCAGACCAATGTTATGACTGGAACCATGCTTATGGTTCTTATTCTGCCTGCAGTATGCCCTTCAGTAATAACCATCAGGAAACTCTAAAGGAAAAAAAAAAGTTTATTACTGGCCCTGGAACTTACAAGGCATGCCAGGGGGCACACAGAGGGGTTGGGGGGAGGGAGAGAGAGAGAGGCAGAGAGAGAGAGAGCACACATAGGCCTGGGGTTCTGCTATCTAACTGTGGCCAGTTATCTAAACCAACCACAATCTCTAAAACAAAAGACCTTCCTGATGGGGTGAGGTAAATTCTGACTCTTTATCGAGTTATGTTTCTAGCAATGTATTTATTCAAGATAGCCTGGGGCAATCAAAGCTTAAATCAGACACTTGCCTTACAGACAGAAAAGTCAACTGTCAGGGCCCACATTGCAGAGAGGTTGTATCTATTAGACTGTACAGGAGAGAGTAAGAGTTAAAGTGGGGATGCCTGAAGTTTTGTTCCCAAGGTTTTTGATCTTCCTCCCCTCCTCCTCTTCCTCCTCCTCTTCCTCCTCCTCCTCTTCCTCCTCTTCCTCCTCCTCTTCCTCCTCCTCTTCCTCCTCCTCCTCCTCCTCTTCCTCCTCCTCCTCCTCTTCCTCCTCCTCCTCTTCCTCCTCTTTCTCTTTCTAAAAGTAAAGGGAGCACTCATGAGGGAAAGAAGAGGGGGAAGAAAGACATGGGCACCCTCTCAGAGAGAGATTACACTGGATCCTTGGTCCTAAGGACTTTTTTTCCCCCTAATTTTCACCGAGGATATTTTTCTATTGATTTTCAGAGAGAGTGGAAGAAAGAGGGAAAGACAGAGAGAAATATTGATGTGAGAGAAACACACTGATTGGTTGCCTCTTGTACATCCCCCACCAGGGCTTGGGATGGGAAGGGGTCTGCCCTTGACTGGAATTGAACCTGGGATTCTTTGGTCCGCAGACCGACACTATCCACTGAGCCAAATTGGCTAGGGCATCATGCGACTTCTTTTCATCTGAATGATTCTATGTATTAAGCAACTTCCCTAAGTCGGGCACTTGATCCATAATTTCTAATATGAAGTGGGTAGTTATATCCCCATTTTAATCGTGAGCAAAGACTCAGAGTCGTTAAGACAAGTGACAGAGCTAATACCTGGCCAAGCTCAAATTGAAATCCAAGTTTGTCTAAAAGGCTTCCAAGGCTGTGCTCCCTACTCCACATGAAATTGCCTCCAATCCAGACACTAGCTATTTGGTTAGTGTTCAATTCACTAAGATAGGTTTTACACTGGGGATGGGGGGTGGTGGTGTTTATATAATTTCTTTTTAAAAAATATATATTTTACAGATTTTTTACAAAGAGGAAGGATGAGAGATAGAGTTAGAAACATCGATCAGCTGCCTCCCGCACACCCCTCACTGGGGATGTGCCTGCAACCAAGGTACATGCCCCTGACTGGAATCAAACCTGAAACCCCCCAGTCTGCAAGCCAATGCTCTATCCACTGAGCCTAACCGATTTTGGCTATAATTTCTTATTTATTTCCAATTAATTGCAATTTGTCCTTCAAAAACATTCGGCAGTGTGACTGCCTATTTCAGAGAGGGTTAATTAAGGATTGTGTACCTTACACTTTTTACATTTCAGTGATGGAGAGTTTTATCCCCCCACCCCCACTCCATCCCAAGGAACAACTTCAATACTCCTAATAATTTCTAACTACCACAGAAACAGATAAGCCACATTCTGGACTCATGTGTGAAAAAAGAAGAATAGAGGTGATACTAAAGATGCATTTGGTCAAAATACACCAGCTCTGGCACAGCGGACCCTGTTAATCTCTCCCATCTGGAAAGCCGTAGAGCCCCAGCAGTGGGCATGGGATGGCCTTCCCAGTGGCACTCGTCGCTGACTCTCTGCCGTTTGGAGACTGAAGGCAGGGGACCGATTCCTCAGGGCTCCAGCCACACCCAGAGCAGGTCTGTGGGGCATGTGATGGATCTGTCCTGATGAAATGAAGAGGTTTGTTTCTGTTTGATGCAATTCATGACAGATTGATAACGGCAAAGGCATTCATATTTGGTGTTTCACCCTCCCTTCCTCCCCCCTCGCCCCCACCCTTAACACCACAGATCATGAGGCTATTCAGGCATCTGGTGTTTGTTAGATGGCTGCGTTGCATCATCCTCATGATTGCTGGGGAACATCTCCTAGCATTGGAGCGATTGGAGAGAAGACCATGGGGCACAAAATGGCCTCATCCGGTTTACATCTTCATTACTGCGCTTCTCACATACCTGCTTACATCTGGAAAAAATCTCCAGGTAACCCTCTTGGGCTCTTTTTCTAAAAAGTAACTGTAATTATTAGGGTTATCCCCAAATTCAGCTTAGAATAGGTATGTGGCTGAACTTCAGCCAAAATCCTTTGCCTGTCTAAAAGAAATTTTCCTTTTTTTTATTTTTATTTTTTTTTATCCAATTACATAGGAGGAGCCTTTTACCCAAACTTGGCCAGTGAGGTTCCTGGTTCTCCACACCCTAGGCTTCTATTTCTTTCTTTTTTTTTTTTTCTTTTTTTTTTTTCTTTCTGACAACATGTTAGAAATTCCTTTATTATTACTTATTAAGCACCAGCTTAATACTGCAGAAAATTTCAAATCACCCTTTGACAGTTCGTTCTCCCCACTCCACCCCACCCCCAAATTCTTGATAATGAACCTTTCATGTAAAGACATGTTCTCTTCTCTCTTCTGTATAAAACTTTATGAAATAAAGGCAAAGAACTGTGTACGTTTTGCTGTAAAATGCCGCCCACGGTTGTGGAAACAGGGTCTGCCCAGCTCTCTTTACTGTCCAGGTCCTGAAAGACTCTTGTTCATGAACTGTCTCTTCACAAAGCAAGTCCACCACTTGCTGGGTTTATCATTCTGAGGGTCAAAAACTTTCTCGCAAAGTCTCAGTCCAGTCTCTTGCCTTAGCTGCTGCAAACAGGGCCCTCATCACTTCGTCTTCCTGTTTGTTTGCAGGTTTGGCATAGATGGCGTTAAGCGGAAAACAGGCTCTCCGGGAATGGGAAAATTAGTGATTCCCAGTGTGTACATTTCTTTCTCACCTTGGCTTTTGGAATTGCACTTTTGGAGTTTCTTTAGACACTCAGAAATGTAGAGAGTGATATATATCAAGGTTCTATCAGCTTCATTCTTAATTTCATAGTTTTTGAAGAAGACATTGGCCTTGAAGTAACAGAGGGCTTCATCCACAATATCTGTGTCTTTTGTCCCTCTCGGGGCAGGTCCTTTGAACTGACTTCTGATGGGCAGCAGCGCCATGTTGCCAATGAGCTTGGTGTCGGGGTCCATGAGAGAAGAGTGGTAAGCCGGCATCTTGACATCTTCCGGGTTTCAACTCAATTCAAGGCTTCTATTTCTGCCCTGAGGTACTAGGCAAGGAGATTTTTCAGGAAAAGACTTAAAGATTTTCTCAAATCTCCCACTGACTTTTTTTTTTTTTCTTTCTTCTTTTCAGTACCGAATCCCAGAATTCTAATGTATATTGCAGGTCAAGTTAGAATTTTTACATATGCCCAGTGTAGGTACTATCACAAACTTTACCTTACCAAGTAACAACATAAAAAAAAAAAATGTCCATTTCTACTACCGTGTTTCCCCGAAAATAAGACCTACTTACAGGTTTTCTTTTGAGTAAAATATAAAGCATCCCCCCTGAAAATAAGGCCCCCCCTAGGCGAAACATGAGAGATTTGGTCCACTGATTCTGAAAGAAATGGAGTCACAAGAAATTCATCAGGAAATTCAGGAATTGGATTGTTATGATGATGTTCCAGATGATGATGACATGATTGTCACTGAATAAATGAGTAAATTCTTGATACTGTAGGGTTCACAGTTTGCCTGGTTTGTGTTGACAACTACTGTACTACCGTACCGTATACAGGTAATAAATTTCCTTTATCTTGATTTAACAATAAACGTGTACCGTATTCTTCTTCATGGAAAAATAAGACATCCCCGGAAAATAAGACCTAGCGTACTTTGGGAGCAAAAATTAACACAAGACACTGTCTTATTTTTGGGGAAACAGGGTATTGCCTGCGTATTCCCTTGTCTGGGTCTCTGGCAGCCTCAGTGTCACTCAGCCACCATTCCTGCTGGTTTTCACACCCTACAGTTATAGGCCTTCTCTTCCCAGCACTGGAACCCTGGGCTGTGTCCTGATGTGGGGCTGGGACTACCTGCTCCTCACAGGAGGCCTCTGCAGCCAAGATATTCCTCCCAATAAAAAACATGTGGTGTCAGACCAGCCCATTTGGTGCTTCTGCCCCTCCAACCAGTCTCAGTGCACTTCTCCAATTGTGGGGCTTCCATTCAGCCACATTTCAGGCAGGTCTGAATGATAGTTGTTCTGTATTTTATTTTTATTTTTAAATTTATTTTTTATTTTATTTTATTTATTTTTACATATTTTATTGATTTTTTTTACCCCCCTCCCTCCCTCCAACATATCCCCTCCCTCCCCAGAGTTTTGTGTCCATTGGTTGTACTTACATGCATGTATACAAGTCCTTCAGTTGATCTATTATCTCCCCCAGATCCTCCTCCCCTCCCCGCTGTAATTTGACAATCTGCTTGTTGTTTTACTGTCTCTATATCTATCTTTTGGATCATCAGTTTATAATGTTTTTTATTGTCCACAAATGAGTGAGGTCATGTGGTGTTTCTCTTTCATTGATTGGCTTATTTCACTCAGTATGATGTTATTTTGATGTGGTTGTGAGAGGCGCTGAGTATCATGTTTACTTACACCGCCATCTTGGTTCCTGTCTCTCTCTCTCTTCTTTGCCTTGCCCTGTTTGTCTCCTAACTCCTCCCCCTCCCCCCCATCCTCCCAGATTTGTCCTCTGGGCCAGCAGTCACCAACCTTTGGGAACTCACAGACCACTGGTTGGCGACCGCTGCTCTGGGCAATGCCATGTCCCTAAGCCTCTTTCCCCATTCATGATCCTTCGAGGAGCTTAATCTGATAGATGATAAGTACTGCCTCCCCCCAGCATTTATTAGGGGCTCCTCAGTGTTAACGTTCATTATCTCATTCAATCTTCTGGGTGAGATTGAAACCACAGACTGTAGGTATGTTGTCTTTCCTACACCTTTTAACATACTTTCTCTAATAAATATTAAAAAATCAGGAGAGATCACACATAAACACACAAATTTTAAGACTCTTTTGAATAAAGGGAAAATCTTGGCCGTTATCATCAGACAGTGCTGGGCAGCAGCTGAGTTTTGGAGGTGAGGGTAATATTTCCCTCAATGTTACCCTCAATATTCCCACAAGCCTGGACCACTTCCTATGGTTGGATAGGACAAGGGTCTCAAGGTCTGGACCATTCTTACTAAATGCTGTTCATACTAAATGTTCAAATGTAGCACAGTATTTTGCAGACAAAGGTGTAAACAGGATGAAGGTAACAGGAACTCAAACCTATAAAAGTAAGCAACTGCAAAGAAGTCAACATGTAATTGACCAAGTAGTGTATCTAAGCAATGGCTAAGCCTCCCTTCCGGGAGGCAGGGCGTTGGATATGAATCCCCTGTCTCCTTTACTTGTTGCAAGTAAGTAAAACTTCCTTGCACCAGTCATGTCTCTTTTTTGAATAGAGCACACCAAGCAGCAAATCCTTTGAATTCAGTCACATTAGGAGTTCCCATTTATCTTCCTACTAGAGGCCGGTGCACAAAATTCGTGTACTCGGCATGGGGAGTCCCTCAGCCTGCCCTGCGCCCTCTCGCAGACCAGGAGCCCTTAGGGGATGTCTGACTGCCTGCTGAGTGAGCCTAAGCCATCAATCAATCAACATCCTTAGTGTTGCCTTAGAGGCAGGAGAGGCTCCCACTACCATCACTGAGCCAGCTTCTGGCTTAGAGGCGCTCTCCCTGTGGGAGCACACTGACCATGGGGGGGTGGGGGTGGGGCAGCTCCTGCATTGAGCATCTGCCCCCTGGTGGTCAGTGTGCAACATAGCGACAGGCCATTCTGCTGTTCATTTGATTTGTTTTTAGCCTTTTATTATATAGAATGTGCTGTTTTATTGATTCTTATAATAGACAAATGTTTTTTGTACCCCTGCTTTTACCAAATGAAAAAATAAAATACAGACTATAGAAGTCACATGAATTTAAAAAAAAAACAAAGACAACAACCTACCTATTTCCTGTTTATGACCCTGGAATAGATGATATTATTACCTTTACTTTATAAATGAGGAAACTGAGGCACATGGAGGTTAAGTAACTTCACCATGATTGGAAAGTGTCAGGGCAAAGACAGGATCATTGACTCCAAAGCTCATGCTCTGCAATGAAGAAAAGGTTTTGATCCTGCAGTTCTACTGAAAAAAAATTCTTGAGCAAAAAAAATTCTATTCTGTACAGTTACTTTTAAATTATATTTATCACCATTGTAATATGGTATGCACATTCTAAAATATGTACATAGATAGAAAATTTTTAAAGATGATAAAAATTTAAAAACATAAGTAACCAAGCAATTTAATGTTTTGTAGCAGTATCAAAACATTATTATCTTTACTAAAATATTAAGATTAGAAGTAATATTTTTAGTGAAAACAATGTGGTTTGAATAAATCATTATTTATATTTATTTAATTTTTTTGATTAATCCTCACCCAAGGATATATTTACCACTGATTTTTAGAGCGAGTGGAAGAGAGAGGGAGAGAGGCACATTGATTGGTTGCCTCCCACATGAGCCCCAACTGGGGCCAGGAACAAACCTGCAATCCAGGTACATGCCCTTGATCAGGAATTGAACCCAAGACTCTTCGTTTGTGAGGGCCAACAATCTAACCATTTAGCTACACCAGCCAGGGCAAATACATTCTTATTTTCAAAAGTCTGTATTTAACAGTTTGTGAAGGTCTGGGTCTAAAGTCAATTTATTTTATTTTATATATATGTATGTATGTATTTATTTATCCTCACCCGAAGATGTGTTTGTATTGATTTTAGAGAGAAACATCGATGTGAGGGAGCAACATTGCCTTCCATACATGCCCTGACCAGGGATTGAACTCACAACCTAAATATGTGCCCTGACCAGGAATGGAATCCACAACCTTTTGGCTGTCTCCTGCATGCTCCTATTGGGAATGAGCCAAAACCCAGGCATGTGCTCTGACCTGGAATCGAACTGTGACTTCCTGGTTCATAAGTCAATGCTCAATCAAGGAGCCACACTGGCCTGGCAATCAAAAGTTTAATTTAAAGTTCCCTCAATACTAATGTCTCCTATGTGATTATTTCCTGTGATTGCCATATGTGTTCCTTCTGCTATGAAAAAGGCTTATGCATGTTTGGCCATTTTCCATTGACTATTTTTCTAAAGCAATTTACTTATAGGTAAATTCTTTCTGCATTTTTGATATTAATCTTTTTACTTTTACACATGTGGCAATCTTTTTCCCAGTTTGTTTCTCATCATTTCACTTTTCATGGAGACTTTTACAGTTTGTCTCAACGAACAGTAAGTTTTAATTTTAATATTGGATCAAATTGATCAAGCTTTCCTTCCATGGTTATCACTTTTTTTTATTTCTTATTTTATGTATTGGCACACCTATTGTGTAAGTTACTTTTAAATTATGTACTTGGGTGGGGAGTCCAGCACATGATTGAACATCATAATGTTAGCAGAAATCTCTGACTTGGCGCTGGTTTTAAGGAAAATATTTCTTACTTTTCACCTATAAGAATAGAATGCTGTTGCTGTAGGTTTGGGAGATTATCAAGTTAAGAATATTCCCTCTATCCTTTGTTTGGTAACAGTATTTTTTTTTTTAAGTATACTTTTTTATTGACGAGAGAGAGAGAGAGAGAGAGAGAGAGAGAGAGAGAGAGAGAGAGAGGAAAAGAGAGGGAGAGATTGAAACATTGATGAGAAACATCAATCATCTGACTCCTACATGCCCCCTACTGGAGATTGAACCCACAACTGGAGCGTGTGCCCTGACTGGGGATGAAACCAGTGACCTCCAGCTGGCAACAGTATTTAAAAAAAATAAAAAAATATTTTATTGATTTTTTACAGAGAGGAAGGGAGAGAGATAGAGAGCTAGAAACGTCAATGAGAAAGAAACATCAACCAGCTGCCTCCTGCACACCCCCTACCGGGGATGTGCCCGCAACCAATGCACATGCCCCTGACCAGAATCGAACCCGAGACCCTTCAATCCGCAGACCTATGCTTTACCACTGAGCCAAACCGGTTTTGGCTATTTTATTTTTTAAATTTTTATTTAAATCACGAATTGGTGTTGAATTTTATTCTGCACTTATTAAAATAT